TCTGATTCGAACATAGCGGTCTATCAATTGGCAACCATTACTATTCCTCTAAGGCATGTTACGCAGTCAATGATTGCGGCAGTGGATGCCAGGCTCGCTATATGTACATCAAATGCGGATTCCCGAGCAGGCACCACGATTCATTCATATAGCAACATTCGCAAGCAGCTGCCGGGTTAGGTCATGCTTGCCCAGGATTCGCTTTCTGGGCGAAGCCGGCATTGCGAACTTCAGGAGTTTGATGACGCCCTTCTAAGAGTGGGCCACAGAGAATGACGTCAGGAAGAGGATGTTTAACAGGGAACACGCCAAGGCTTGACGAGTTGTTGAACAAGCGCCAGCGCTGAAACGGCTTTTGTGCATACTGTATAACATCACCCACATTCAGCCACCGAAGCTCTAGAATGTCGTGTAGGCTTGCGTTATTCTCTAAAGCATCCGCTTCTACTAAAGGAACGCACAGAGGACAATCGCTATCGCCCATCGTCGCGGTTGGATCACCCATCCCCGGACAACGAGTACATCAGAGAATTCGTTGCCGAGAACTGTGTGAAAGAAGATCATCGTTGTAACAGGCGATGTCACTGAGATTTTGTTGAAGTTCATGACCTCCATCTTATCAAGCTTAAAGAAAACCAGTACGTGATGAGGAAGATAGCCATAGCTTTGCAATATAAAATAGATGTGATTTATTTAGAAAGATAATCTATACACTTAACTTGTTTGCTAAGGACCAGACAGGATTTGTGATTTCCTCTGTGCCACAGAGCTCAACGCCCTTTCATCAGTAGTTCCCGAGAAAGGGCAAAAAGATTGAATGGAAATGTATGCTTGTGAGTAACACCACATAAATAACGATGAATGGATTGATAGATAAAGTGTACAAAATAGAATTGTAGGAGAATTGTCTGAAGACATGTGTATAGAAAAGCACATCCACTAAATGGATGTGCCTCAAATTAGAAGGAATTTCCCACTCATTTTGAATCTTCACATACGTATCATGTCAAGAATTTATCCTTATGTCATATTATTCCATGATTATCGATAAAATTCAGAGTCTCCGTGCAGGGCCGCATGCCCGTTTGGGCATGAAATCAGAAAGCGCACCGCGTGCGGTGCTCGTTCAGGTGCAGCAAAAGAAACACATTACTTGCTACAGCCATGCGGCTAGAATGCTCATGTTGCCTGCTGCAACGAGTAGCACATGTTGCTTGCTGTAGTTAGTGGGACTAGATTTTTGGCGCATTGTCAGCAACGTGCAGCGAATGTCACAAAGAGCAGAATGTAGACTTCATATCTGCAAACTGTTTGATGTAGAATGTCATAAACGTTGTGGCCTTAATGACCATTTCTTGTTCCGATTATTCTTTTGCGAAAGTGTCGGTGACGGATGCTGCCATGCCCTTGCTTCTGATATGTGAATTGGTTTATACAACAGTCATCACCCACAGGTCTGTATTGTGATTAATGTTGGGTTCCATTTTTATGTTTTCCGTACATTGATATATAGCATTCTGGGAAGCATATATAAAATGGCTGAAGATTCAACATGTGA